ACCAAAAACACACATCTACTGTCAAAATTTCATGATTCTAGGTTCAGCCGTTTGGGCTGTGCGATGATGAATCAGTCAGTCAGTAACGCTACTCTTTTATATATATATAGATTATGCCTCAAGCCTGGTACATGGATTCCTTTAAACAAAATTAGTTTAATAATATTAAGAATACAAGTTTAAGGTTTAGAGAACCTTAGTTAGGGGCAGCCTTAGAATACTTATAGGATTAAATATTAACACGATAATATAGTCTTAGATACCATCAATTCATTCTTGGTAATGCTGCAGCTTCTGCATAGTGGCCAGGATATTGTGTATGTATATAGAATTAATGATTTTCACTGCTACAAAAAATGCATTTCAAAACTTATTAGAATGAAATAATTTTGTGTAATTAAATGAAATAAGTTTTATATTTAAGAATCTACACTTGAACAGAGAAATATATGGCATCAAATAACTCTATTCGTTTTCATAAAAATAACAAATTTACTATACTTCATAGAAATATTTCAAATTATTTTTCTTATAACACATAATTACAATTGGTATAAGTATATCTTTATACACTTCACACTCCCCCAGTTACAAAAATTGGATTTTTATCTCAAGTTTTAACAAACAAACCTCTACTTTACCAGTAGTACTCACTCTATTCACATATTTTTTTTAACGTCTATGAAGAAAATTTTTTATTTTTGTTTTGTTTCTTGTTGTTTTTCATATTTTTTTTTCCAATTTACTACTTTTTCCATCAGCATACTTCATTCTCAGATACTACAGTTTTATTATTTATTTAAGTTTTATTGCATTTTACAGATCTTGTTGACTTGTTGAGCACGCGCAGCTTTACGTATGAGTAGATTTCGTATACACGAACAACAGCGTATGAGTGTGTCTGTCTGTCTGTTTGTTTGTCTATCGTTATGTGTGTAAGTGTGAATATGATTCTCTGATTTGTCTAGTGCATATATGATCATAGGAATAAACATTCCATAAGAATGAACAGAAAAAAACTCGCACGAGTATGTACTTTTTTTACAACCATCCACACATAAAATTATTTTCATTTTTGATTATTTATGCTACCATTTTTCTCCGTAAAAATTTTATGGCAACAGACAGACAGACACACTCACTCACACAAAACGATAATGCAGTTGCAACAATAGATCAATGCAGTAGATGTTTGTTGCATGTTAATAAAACTTAAGAAGATGAAAAAAAAAAACAACTCAAAACGAATGCACTTGTTTCGTTCGTGTGTGAGTAAAAATACGATCATGTTTTTATGCCATTCATCATATTTATTGGAAAAAAAGTATAAAAGAAAAGAAGTAAAACAACGTTTTAAAGAAAATACATCTGTATGCCGCATTTGAGCTGTAAATGGTGGTAAAGTGCTTGAATGTATCTATCTATTCTCTGTCTGTCCGAATAAGTTGCTGCTTCATGTTGCTTTTGTGAAATTTTTATCGTTTGTTTTTGTTTTTGTTTTTTTGTGGGCTTGATAAACAGTCGTTTGTTTTTGCTTCATGCCATTGATCTACTGATCTATATTTTATATTAAAAACGTTTGTTCGTTTGTTGCTGCTGCTGCTCGTTGTTGTTTTAGTTGTTGTGTTGATTTTTGTGCTCTTTTAGCTAATTATCAATTTTTTCCCCATCAAATGTAAAACAGAAAACAAAATAAACCTCAACAATGTGTTTTACTTATTTAAGTAGTTGTTGTGCTTGACTCCTCACTTCAGTTGCAGAGTTTTTTTTCTTTACCCAATAAACATAAATTGCAAGTGTTACGATAATGATTTAGATTAGGAATATCTTTATTATACTTATAACTATTTATACATATACATAGTCAGTCAGTCATACATATCTATAATTATATGGCAGACGAAATAAAAACATAAATGTAAAAACTTGTTAAAAACTGGATGATAAAAGTGCAACTCTCACATTTGGCATTATTTTTATAATTTTTTCCCCATTTTATAAGTTTTCATAAATTAATAAAATATTAGTTTTTTTATATTTATTAGATTTAATATCTTTGTAAAATTATTAATTTTAATGAAAACTGTTTGATCGAATATTTTAATAAGTTTCGAACAGTAAAGTTTGAATATTGAAATTTTAATAACTCTGACTACACCACGATAAACTTAGAATGAATATCTAATATGGGGGACTAGACAGGGAACTTTTTTTTTACCAAAATTAGGGTCAAATGAGGCCTAATCATAACGAAAATCATCAGTGTCATTTAGACTTTGTTGACGAATTAGAACATTTAACCTAATTATGAGCTTAAAAGCCCTAATATACCAATTTTAAGTATTTTCAATACGCTTCGTCCTTGGGTCAAGACACATATGTGCCAAATTTCGTCCAAATATCTTGAAAGTTGCGACCTTTAGTCTGCGCACAAGCTTTACAAGGACACATAGACAGACGGACAGACAGACAGACGGTCATAACAAAATCGACTAAAAAGAGATTCTGAGCCGATTGCTATACTTTATGGTGGGTATAGGACCAATATTTTTGAGTGTTACAAACAACATCACAAACGCATAATACCCTTCGCACTATAGTAGTGTAAGGTATAAACTCATTTGTTTTAATATATATATATTTTGAATATATAGTCCATACTATTCTAGTATATACTTCGCCCAAAATAGTGGGCGTGGGAGCTTCTATATAAAGTAAATTTCGTGTATTTGGGAAACTATAATGGCTAGAATCCTTAAATTTTTTTACAAAAGTTCTAAATATTTGTACTGACAGTAGAGTAATACAGTCAATACAAATATTTAGAACACAAATTTGAGGACCAAAAATAATGATGGGTGTGGCACTTCCCACATAAATAAAAAATAATTTTATATAAAAGGAATACTATAAGAAATATAATTTTGAAATGAGTAATATTACTATACATTGAACTAACTGTTTGGGATCAAAATGGGCAGATCAACAGTAGTGGGCGTGGCTTCTAATAATATTGAAAGAGTGGAAATTACAGCAGTAATTACTATAGTTTAGCGAATCACATTAAATATAGCCAGCATAACATAAAATCTATATATATAAAAGAGTATCGTTACTGACTGACTGATTCATCATCGCACAGCCCGAACGGAAACACCTGTTTCGTACTTTTTTAAAATTTAGCCCTTTTTGGGTGGAAAAGGGAGAAAACTTTATTTTTGGTGCTTTTTTTTAGCTCATTAAGAAAACTTTCTCGATTTATTGAAGTATTCCTATTAAATTACAGACTGACTCTGTAATATTTATTAAAACAAAATGTTTACTATTTCACTGGGGAAAAAAGTACCAAAAAGGGGAAAAATGGGAAATTTAATTTTATTCAAACTCATTGAGCCAAGTTTTATAAAATTTGAAAAAGTAGTTTATTTACTCACACAAAATAAGCTATTGGTATATTAGTTTGGAATTCGAGTACTAAGGCCTATATAGGACCAAATTCGAGTAAATTGTTTGGTATCTTTTTGAAAGCACAATTTTTCTGGAACAAATGAATACAGATTTGAATCGTTTGAGTTTTATCTGTAATATATAGATTAACACGGAATAATTTGTAAACTTCATTTTCGAAAAAGTCTATTCCTATTCGAAAAGGGGGAAAATTGTATCTTTTTATTAGTACTTTCCACAAAGGCAGAATTTATTCCACTTTTGATACATTTTCATTTCTCAAATGATACTCCTTGTATGTTCTATAATATGAATCCAATACACATGATTATTAAACGATCCTTATTGAATACGATTATTTAGCATGTTTTAGTACTTTTTATCTTTCAAATGTTACTTTTTGAATTTTCTAAAATATTCAACCTAGAAACATAAATTTGAAGAGGAATGGTCCTGACTGAATATTAATCTGAGGGTGGGGACTCTTTGGTACTTTTCCATTCTTCAAATGGATTCTCTATAATGGGGAACCGGAACACATGTCACACAGTCCTTATTAAATGAGAATTTATTGACAGAGATTTTTGTACTTTTTCGTTATTTAGACGGTACTTTTTGATTTTTTGATGATATTGAACAAAGCAATATAAAATTTAACATGTTGGGACCTGAGTGAATCTTTCTCGTTTCCGATTCCCTCCTGGTGTTTTTGGAATTCAACTGATCTATTTTAACCATTAGCAGATCTACCCCCTTGGTTTCGTAAAAGTTTAATCGTTTTATGAGGAAGACATAGTCGTAGTAATCATCCAAATGCATCGTGTCTTGCCTAGTCAGTTCGGTAGCTCATCCCGGAAAGTTTGAAAGTATTTCCACTAATTTTTTTGAATTTGAATATTGGAACGAGAAAAAATATTTTCTCGTTAAAATATGCCTCAGTGTAATTAAATATTTTTTTAATTGATAGAGCAACTGTTCTTATCTGGGGGGAATGTAAAGAATGGACGCGTTTTAATATGTTGCATTAAATTGTTTGCTGGGTAATGTTTTGACTCATTTTTAAACACATCAAAATCAGATTTTTGTTGTTTTATACGGTAAATATTTGTTTTATATTTGTTAGTTTAACGTTACTTTTCATTCTACTTGCTATTTTTATTTATTTTTACAATTTACACATTTTAAACAATTTGGCTGGCGTCTGGCCAAAATAATTTACAAAAAAAAAAAAAATCTGTAATGTTTGGTTTACTAATATCTCATTCACATGCTTTGAGAATGTAATTATTTAAGACCTAATTTTTTTTAGAAAAATGTACTTATATAAAAATATTGTTAAAAATTATTTTGATACAAATAAACAGATTCTAAGTTAATAATGCTTTTATATACTTTTTAAAACTTTGCGATTGAACTACAAATCAAAATTTAGTCATAAAGAAAAAATTTTGTATTTAATTAATTGTTTTTTTTTATAATTTTTTATTTTAGTTGCAATATTCATTGCCGCTTAATTGTGGAAAATTAATTTGATTAGTTCCGGATACAGAGACAAAATAATTAACTTTGGAGTCATTTGAGTCGTTTCATACTACACATCTTTATCGTTTCTTGTTTTTTAAGTGGTAAGTACAATATTTCTTCTTTATATCTAGAATGGATTAGGTTCAAAGGTTCTCTGTTATTCTCTATTTATTATTTTAAATATACACCACAAACTATTGATGTAAAATTAACTACCTAACTTCAATTTCTTGATTTCTCACGATTCAGTATTGACAAATATCCACTAAATCACAAGCAATTACTTGGCAAATTTGTCTGGGAGCCATAAACTTAACAAGCATTTAATTTCTTAAATTTATTGATTTAAGCAAAAAATAAAAAAAAACAATTAACTTTTTTTGTTCATAATGTGCCCCTTAAAAGCCAACATTATAAATGTTCAATAAACTAACTTTTGCAAAAAAAAAAGAACAATATTTTTTCAAGCTCCTTCAAACAGTCAAGTCAATCAATTTCTGAAAGAATTATTGAAGAAAAACTAGAAAGTAAAATGCGATTCTTTCTTTTCTTTTCCTTTTCAAAATTTGAATTAGTAACGTATAAGATATAAGATATTCAACCAATCGTTCTCACAATAATATTCTGTCAAAGTAAAATGTTTTGTTTGAAGACAAATAAAAAGAAATTTAAACATCAATCATTTCGTATGAAAACAAGTTTAGTTGAGATGAGAATGAAAATTAAAAATGAATATTGTAGTTCATATTTTAGATGTATAGGTATGTGTGTGTGTGATGTTTTTTTCTGACGTTTTCTTTGTTTAAGGTTAAGTTTAGTAGGTTAAAGATACATTCACAATATTTAAAATAAGAATTGTAAAAAACAAAAACACAAATCTCAAAGACAAAGATATACAGGTTGAGATTGAGTTGATGGTGAATACTTGTATCTGAAGCATTGTTTTCGATTGTCAATACACAGTTGCCATGCAAATGGATGGATAATGAATGTATGATTTTCTCTAGAACTTTTATTTCTGTTTAGTATTTTTTTATGCACCCTATAATATACTTCAGAATGAATAATGGTAATAAAGTGATATGTTTTCCTTGAAATATCTAGAATAGGACTAGGTTCTTCAGAAATTTCCACAGAATTTGTATAATTTTCCTATTTAGATAAATTTTTAGAAGATAAATCGAGTTGCAGACTAGGTTCTATTTTGTATCCAAAGTCTCCAGAGTAAACTTTTGTAAAGAGTTGAGCTACGCTGAATCTTCACACTAACGTCAGTTTTTTGAGATATTGGATTGATTGGAGGATGTATGCCACTTGAAATCTGAAGAAATACTTACACCTAGGACACCTATCTCGCTGAACTTTTGTACGCTGCTTCGTATGGAAAATGTTTTTTGGAAGAAAACCTTAAATAGTGATGTTATTGTCCGAAGTTCAAAAACTCGGTTTCCTGATGCAAGTTCTTAAGAATTTTCCCATCAGTGTTCGTGAAGGACGTTATATACGGAATAATATCGATGCCAAGATCTTTGTGCTTCCTAGATTCACTGTCCTATTCACATGTTCTACCTTTGTCTGACTTTGCAAGTCCAACTTTGCATAGTTTTCCTGTATATCTATATAGAATACTTAGTAACCTAGCTTTTGTTCATTCCGAGAAGGCTTAACCCATAGGTTCTACCTACTGTTCCTATATTCCAAGTGGCTTTATTCTATTCTCTTGCCTATGTAATTAATTCAACCCCTGTTGAGTCGAACCGTTTTGCGTTCAGTAGTTTATCTTCCCCTTCCCTCTATAGCAAGTACATTCATTCTTTAAATACCTATTATTACCGAGTGGCCTGTTAAGTATATAAATCAAAGCTTATCTATAGGAAAGTATTTGGTTAAAGTTCTCTTAACCCTATCACTGATGGTTCCAAAATGGAATCCGGCACAGGTGCAGGAGTTTATTTAGTAGATTGTAATATAAAGGTGTCATATACACTTCCGGATGAATGTAGGATTTTCCAAGCAGAGATCTTAGCGATCTGAAAGGCTATGGAACTGATAAAGACACACATTAGAAGGGGGGTCGGAAGTGATAGTTTATGTTGATAGTCAGGCAGAACCTAAGGCCTTGAAATGTCATGTAGTTTACTCCAGATTAGTAAGCAGCTGCACGGATGCTATTATTATACAATTAGGTTGTGTTGGGTTCCAGGGCACTGTAATATACAGGGTAAAGAGATCGCAGACGAACTGGCCAGACAAGAGTCAGATCTGGACATTAATAGTGGAGTTAGGTCGGTGAAACCTCCCATCTGCCACTACTACAGGTTAATCTCCGATAAATTTGGGAACCCTTCTAACCAATCCTGGTGCAGATGGAAGGTCTTATAGCCGAGGTTGAATACCAAGGCAACCAGTATACTATTAGGTTTGGACAGTAAGAGTATTAGAATTCTTGTAGAAGTGATAACCGGTCACTGCGCGATAGGAGCCTTTTTGGGTAATTGGGTCTTTAACACAAAGGAGTTTTGTAGGTTGTGTGAGGACAAAGAGGAGTTAGAGACATATTTTGTGCGACTGTCCTGGTGCACAGAGTCTGAGGTGAAAATGGCTAGGAAAAAAATTCCATGATGATTTAGAAGATGTAGCTAGATGTAGTATAAGCGACATTCTAGGTTTTGCCAGGGGAGTGGATTGGCTATTTAGGAGTCGGACCACGTAGAATTCCCTTCCAATACTAACAACATTCTTTCTCTATTAGGATAGAAATTCATTAATTTCACACTTATCTCTCCCGGCTTTTCTATCTTCTTTCTGTTTATTTTTTGTTTCTTCTTAAAGGGAATCACAATGGATCCTCTTGGGTCTCCGAGTGGATGTATACCTTTTTGGTATACAACCCTTTTAAACTAAACTAACACTATCATCTGATATGACGCTAATTGGCATCTGGTTGTCGGTACATACATATGTTAACTGCTATTAGTGCCATATTTATTCTAATTCAATCTATATATTCCGTTACTTTGAAGCTGGTGTTGTTATTAGGTAGACGGTAGTATATTTCTAATTCTGGGTTTTTCATATAGAACTCCAGTTTAGAACTATTCCTATAGTACCAGATTCCTACAGATATTTTTTCAAAATGTCCGTTTGATCATCATATTCTATCTGTGATCAGTTTTTCAAAGTTTCCGAAATATTTTCTACCTAGTAGGCGATTGTGCATGTCTGATGTCTTCCAAAGTGTCCGGTATACATTAACGACGTGACCCTTTACTGCCTTTTGTCTCTTTGCATAAAGTTAGGAGCCGTTCAACTGTAAGTACCGCCTATATTAATTGGTATATTTTTGTATTTCCTTTATAGATGTATATTCTGGGTCCTTATTAATTTCTAAGGCTGTCTAGCCTTCTCTCCGTATATTTGTTTGTCTGTTTGTTGAAAGCTCAAGAGGGTTGGAACAGAAAGAGTTAGACAGCAGAAATTTTCCACAAACATTCTTTATAAAAACGGTCCACGATTACAACGGCGTCTTCCCAACGTCTAGGTTAGGATAGGTTAATAGGAGGATGTATCAAAATTAAATCCGAAGAAATGCACCTAGGTCACTATCGGGCCTTTGTTCGCTCTTTTTCATGGAAAATGTTTGTTTCTAAAAACAAAAGCCTTATAGAGCGTTCAATGAATGCGTTACCATCCGATGTTCAGAAACTTGTTTCCTCTAAGTAATTCCTAAGAATTTAGCAATCAGTGTTCGTGAGTAATGTTATATCCGGAATAATATCACTCCCAAGATATTTGGATCTAATTTCGGTGAAACCCTGATAATGGCAAAAAAGTGCTCCAGAGTTTCACTGTCCTCTCTACATGCTCTACATTAATTTGAATCAGCACGTCCAATGTTGTATAGCTGTGTCCGTAATCTGTGCCCCTAACCCCAGACTTGCTCATTTTGAGGAGGATTCTTACCTGCTATCGTTAGGGTCACCCCATAGGATCTTGGTGGTTCTACACACCATTTCAATATTCCAAGAGGCCTCAAGAATTTCTCTCACCCATATGTTTAATTCTGCCCTCGTTTGGTCAAATGATTTTGGGTTAATCAGGTTAACTACCTCGAAAAGTCTAGGAATCTCAAAAGCCTGATGTGATGGTGAAATTCTGAGGTAGGATTTGAATTCAGAAATCCTTTATATACATTAACTAGTCGGTGGATTTTGATCTTTTAAAGAATATTGTCGGCCTGCAAAAAGGGATTGAGAATACGATTTTCTGATACCTTTTAACATCTGTTGCTATAACTTGTATTGTGTATATTATGACTTAAAACACACATCGGATACAGGATGCTAGTATTTTGTCAATGATAGTATTTTGTCAATGATGACCCATGCGTGCCTGGCGTGTTTATTAAATGATATGTAGGGTATCATTATAATTATAACTTTGAGTTTTTCAGATCATTATAAAACACATCTTTGACACACTAATATTTGCATATGAAAATAATTCAACGAATATTCTTCTCAAATTGTTTAAAATGTAAAAATTCTATATAGAAGTGTGTTTTTGTTACATGATTTCAAATCTCAACTCACAATTTCTGTATTTAAATTGTGGTTTTGTATGTGTTTTGTTTTACAATTTTAATCTTTGATTATAATTTAAAACAGTTAACGGTTTTACATTCATTTCAACAACAACTTGAGTATGTATACAAAACAACTTGTAAGTTTTTTTTCTCTCTCTCGTAGTTTTGTTTAATGAATGAATGTATAAATGTGTGTATGTGGAATTGTATGACAACTTGTATTTGACTTTAAATGTTGAAGATGGCAACAAACGTGACTAAATATTAGTACAACTTGTGTACGCCCGACTTTTTATCTTCAATAGAGCAGTAGAGCATCTGTTGTTCCTTGATTGTGGCATGAATGGTAAATAGAAATAGAGATACAAAAATATTAGAGTTAAGATTGTGATTATTATGTGTTTTAATTTTTACTATTTGACATAGAAATTTAAATGAAGACTTTATGTTTTTGTTGTTGTTGTTGTTATTGCGGTTTTTTGATTTAAATGAGCTGCTGCTTTAAGTAACTGTTAA